GCCTGCCCTCAGGCCCCCGCGGGCTCCGCACCGCCGCCCGGAGGCTCGCGCCCTCCCGTCGCTCCGGGACCCGCCCGCCGCGTCCCCTGGGCAACCGTCTCCAGGGAGACCGGGCCCCGCCCCCGGCACCGACACCCGGTACGGAGCCCACCTGTGCGGGCGTCTGCGGGGTCCCAGTGCCCCCCGCCTCAGCCCCGCCCCGCCCAGCGCCCGGCTTTGTCCTCCTGGGGCGATCCGGGGTCCAGGGGCGTGGGGGCTGGGGGAGGCGGGCGCGTTCCCGCGGCGGAGCAGACCCCGCTGGGGAGGCCGAGGCAGGGGGCCGCGCTCGCGTTGTGATGCTCTGGTGTGGGCTGCTTCATGCTCTTCTCTCTTGATCTCGGTGCATCCCTTTTGTGCCTCCAGGGGGCCGGGAACCCGGGGTGTCCCGCTGCCGCCCTTGATGGGATGAGCAGGGCCCTCAGCCGGGCTCCGGACGCCTGTTCAGAGCAAGCTGTTTACTTGTCAGGGACGAGCAGTTGCCGTGCGCGTCCTCCCCTCCCCCTGCCCCCGATTCGGGACGTAGCATCCTGCGCTCTGTCCATTCCTAGCGCTGCCTCCCAAGCTTTGCCCTTGAACCCGGAGGGCTAGAGGGCGGCAGACCCGGGTCCTGAGGTCCCGGCCAGCGTGAGGGCCAGAGCAGAAGATGCACCTTCCTCCCGGGGAAGAGCCTCCTCCCTGGCCGCCCTCTTGTGAATTCTGTCCCGGCTCCCTGTTTCCTGACCTGAATTCCTGCGGACTACTTCCTCCCTTGCCTTCCCTAACTCTTCTTTCTCTCGGCTCCATCATGCTTTCTGCTTTGTCTTTCGTCGTCTTGAAACTGTTTTCTCTACGATCATGTCTCATTTCCCTGTGACTGAGCTGCTGGGTTTTATCCTCTCGTTAATTCCATTGGTCAGCAATGCAAGTTATTTCTTCCTTAGCTCTTGGCGCTGACCTCCCGTTTCTCTGTGGCAGTGCCTTGGGAAGTCCTTGCTGTCCTCCCCTGGTTGCTGAGTGAAGGGACCATCCAAGCCCTCGTTCCTGGGCGTCTACAGCAGGGTCCCTGGGGTAACCTTCCAGGGATTGGGCTGGCAGCACAGAGAATTCCAGCTTGGTCCTTGGGAAATGTGTTCTTGGAATGGACACCTTTTCTAACGGCTTCCTAGCACTGGGCTTTTTGTCTCATGGAGAAGGCAATGGTTTAGGTTTCCTGCTCCTCAGGAGCCCTCCGCAGCCGTGCCTAGCGGGTTCCAGGCTGGAGTCTCCCTGCTGTGAAGGTAGCTGTGCCTGGGCGGGGGTTGGGCAAAGGGGCGGGTCCCACTGCTGGAATCCAGCGGGCTGGGCTTCCGCAGCTCAGGTGGCTTTCTGTCTCTGGGGTCAGATGATTTCCAGGAGCCACCCACGATGGAAGAAGAAACACCACAGATGCAGTGAGTGGGTGGCCCCCTGCCCACACCCCTTCCTTTTCATCTCCATCAAGCAGGGATGAATCTTCCTTTATGATGCAATTTGGGTCTTAAATGGGACCTCAAGTTCCCCGAACCTACTTTTTGCAGTCATTGAGTGGAACTCAACCCAGGCTTGGCTCAGATAGATCACTCACTTTGCTTTCAAAAACCAAACAAAACCAACAAACAACTCTAAAAATGATCTGAGTCATCTGTATGTATATATATTCCTGCTTCAGGCACTGGAAATGCTCCTGTGGTTTGGTTCAGTACTACCAAAGGGAGCTGGGGGCGGCATTGACACAGATGGTGAGAAGGGCCCATCAAGCAGACTGTGATTGGTTTGCAAAAAGGGGACTTGGGTGAAACAGCCGCTTTTGAGCTGAAGTCCTGTAAGAGAGTGCACAGAAGGTTTCTGAGACGTTCTCTTTTAAAATTTTTCTTTTCTTTTTTTCCATACAGATGAGGAGCTGAGTCAGGCAAGGGCGGAATGACGCTCATTGATTCCAAAGCATCTTTAATCTGCCAGGCAGAGAGGCCTTTGCTGCTGGTCTTTCTTGGACCATTCCAGAGAGGTAGGTTGGGCAAAGGAGACAAGTTGGGTGGGGGGAGAAGAAGAGATGTTATTTTGTAGATAGGTTAAGAATGTGAACAGAGTCTGCCGTCCCTGACTCGCCAGCCAAAGGAGAGCTTCCCTGTAGGACTAGAAGGCTGAAAGGAAGAGAATGACCCAAATCTGTGCTAGGAGCCAATGAGGGGGGATGTGAACTAGACCTCAGCGAGCTTCCCAAGAGAGGGATGCTGCTGCCTGGGAAAGGAAGGAATGACTTTGCTCCGAGGAGCCCTGGAGCCCATTATTAAGCTGCAACATTTGGTATTTGACTTGCTCCGGTCATGGTAGAGTTAGGCTGGCCTATTTGGAGAGCGAAAAATAAAACATTCTTCCGAAGGAAGTGGATTGAATTTTTATGACTTGGTAGTGCTTCTCAAGGAGTCCTTTGGTGGGGACATTCTGTTTCTCTCAAGAGTTGGCCATCACTGTATGGATGCTCCTTGGAACTTCTAGGACATTAGCTTGGAAGATGAATGCAGTCCTTTCATTGTACAAATGAAGAAACTGAGGCCAGAGACTGACGATGGCTGAGCATTGGCTAAACGCCCCTCTCTGGCATCTGAGGGTAGCTGAGTACGGTTAGCAACCTCCCAGATTGGTAGGCCAGCAGTCCCCTTGCAAGCTTTTCGGGTACATATGTATTCTGAAAGTGCACAGCACATTCTGCCTTCTCTGGACGCTTGAGCAGCTGCTGTCGTTTCTGATGGGAAGGGGCATGGGGTTATAGCATGGTGTTGTGGTGTCATCTTCGGAGGCTCCTCCCCCTTCCCTAACCTCATTTTTCTCTAGATCTTCATCAGTGCTTTCCAAACTTCTGTGTTGGTGTAGATATCTTTAAAAAGACCAAAATATTAAGCAGAATTTTAACCTATAAAGCTGATAAAAACAGAGTGCCACTGTGGTACAAGTAGAGACTGGCCCAGAACTCCTTCCACTCAGCACCCTATCCCACTCCAGCCACCCCCTGAAGGCCTCGGGGTGCTTCTGTGGGACCCCAGGACTCCCTGGAACGTGGGCCCATGAAAACTGTGAATCCTGTAGACCTGTAGACCTGTAGATCTGTGTTGGGGATGAGAGTATCTTCTACACACCCGTTTACACCATCTTGATTCTTGTTTCAGAAGATGCCTTTTAATAATAATTTTTAACCCTCATACTTTTTTATTTATGAAAAATACCTATTTACTATCAAAAATTTGCAAAATACACACACAAAAAATTGGGAACATAACTCTTCTATAATCCTACACCCCACCCCCCAGAGAGAACCATTGTCTCCTTGTTGGATTGTCCACCCCCGCATCCCCTAGAGAGTCTTCTGTGTGTCTATCTTTGGAAACTTGATTTTTATTTATTGTTAAATATTATTATGAACTTCCACATAAATATAACTGATTGAATACACATGTTTCTCTCTTCTCTGTTTCAAAAGCCCACTAAAATGAGACTAAAGGAATTTTAAAAAGTATAAATTCTTAAGAAAACAGAAAAGTAGATAATAGAAGAGGAGGGATGTGAGCAAAAATTTTGAAAGCTAGAGAGCAGGTGGGTGAAAAAGAAGCGAAGCTTAGAATGTTGAATGTCCTGTGTTGTGGGGGGAGGAAGGTGATGTGTCCACAGGACCCACCAAAGGCTCAAGAATGAGGACTGCACAGTGTTCCCAACAGTGGGGTACAGGGTGGGCTGGAAGCAGGAAGATGGGTTGAAAATGTGTGTTAGAGCCACAGATCTCTCTCTCAGCCCACATAGCCAGGTGGTTCCCTCTCCCACCCCAGCAGAAAATGCCTGGTTTCCCGTAGGCAGTGTTGAGCCAGCATGGCTCAGGCCCAGCCTGGGGCGGAAGGAGGCTCTAAGGAGAGCAGCCGAGCGCAGAGGGAGGCTGTGAAGGGAGCAGCTGAGGGCAGGGGGAGGCTCTGAGGGGAGCAGCCAAGGGCAGGGGGAGGCTGTTAGGGGAGCAGCTGAGGGCCGGGGGGAGGCACTGTGTTGAGAACAGAAGGATTGTGAAGGTTTTCATACTGAATAGCGAGACCCTCTCCTGGTTGGCTCCCAGAACATGGCAGCCTGGCTTATACCCACCCTCTAGGAAGGGCCTTAAAGGATTTCTCTCTGAGGAAACTGAACTCACAAGAAAAACACCTTTCAGATACTGACATTGAGAGGGACCCTGTTGAAAAGCTAGCTTGCTACTTTGTCACTTCACAGCAACGCCTACCGAGCAATTAGCCCTACCTGTGCACAAACAGCTTTTAGTCCCTCTCTCTTAAATTTGAATGGGCAGCCATGGATCATCCCACATAGCATGAGGCCTCTAGCATGAAAGACAGAGACCCAAACAAATAGGAAAAAGGGATTCAGAAGTCAGAAATGTAGGTTTTTTTTTTAAAAAAAAGGCATATTCATAAAACAATAAACTCTTAGATATTGAAACTGTGATGGTAGAAGTAAAAATTTCAATAGACTAGAGTTGGAAGAGTGAAAAACAAATTTCTAGAAAGTAGAGCAAAAAGACTTGAGAGATGGAAAACAGGAAAGAAAAGATAAGAAAATTAGAAAATCAGTTTGGGAGGCCCAATATCCACCTTATGGGAGCTTAAGAAAAAGAAGGGGATGTTATCAAAGAAACCACAGGAAAAAATTCTAGAACTAGAGGAGTTTCTGCATTAAGAATCTCTGGATAGAGGTTGGCCATGTGGTGTAGTGGTTAAGTTCAGTGCACTCTGCTTCAGCAGCCTGGGTGCGGATCCAGGGAGTGGACCTACACCATTCATCAGCCATGCTGTGGCAGCAGCCCACATACAAAATAGAGGAAGATTGGCACAGGTGTTAGCTCAGGGCAAATCTTCCTCAGCAAAAAAAAAAAAAAGAGTCTCTGGGTAGTACTCAGAGACAGTACTCACTCAGCACAATGAATAATAAAAGACATACTATGTAAAAGTAAAAGATGTACTACAGGATATCATCGTGAACTTTCAAAACTCCAGAGATAGACAGGAGTTACTAAAAGCCAGCAAAGAGAAAAGAGGCCACATTCAGAAGATCAGAGAACTGGGGCCAGCCCCGTGGCTTAGTGGTTAAGTGTGTGTGCTCCGCTACTGACAGCCCGGGTTCGGATCCCGGGCACACACCAACGCACCGTTTGTCCAGCCATGCTGAGGCCACGTCCCACATACAGCAACTAGAAGGATGTGCAACTGTGACATACAACTATCTACTGGGGCTTTGGAGAGAAAAAGTGAGAAAAAAAGGAGGAGGATTGGCAATAGATGTTAGCTCAGGGCTGGTCTTCTCAGCAAAAAGAGGAGGATTGCCATGAATGTTAGCTGAGGGCTGATCTTCCTCAAAAAAAAAAAAGAAGAAGCTCAGAGAACAGAATGGCGTTGGACTTTACAAAAGCAAAACCAGAAGCTACAAAACAATGGAGCAACTCTTTCAAATTTCCAAGGGTAATTAATTCCCAACCTAGAATTCTGTAATCATCATTCAAGCGAAGTAATAGAATAAAGACAATTTTTAGACATGTGATTTCAAAAACTTTACCCTACCCTCCTTTGTATCCTTTTTCGAGGAAGTTGCTGGAGGATGTGCTCCACTAAAATGAGAGAGTAAACCAAGAAAGAGGAACAAGTGGTACAGTTGTCTCTTGTTCTTATTTTGCTCAGCTGCCAAATGGCTTTCTATATTTCAGCTATTATCTTACTTTGAGCCTTGAGAGTGGGGAGAAAAAAAACCAAACCTTCAGTACTACTGAAGAGTACTCACTTCCAAGCCTCCCCTGTAGCCAGGACCTGTGACCTGGGCTTCACTGATGAGATGCACCTACATTATGTTTTGACAGAGAAGAGAGAGATGAAGCATGTGCTGTATCCATGGTTCTGGTGGTAGCCGCGGTGATGAGTTGCAAGGTCGAGTTCTTGGCACAGAAGTGGCAGGGGTACAAACTGGCACCCAGAGCTCAGTGGCAATAGCAGCAGTTTTGCCATCAGACATGGTTGTGAATTGTGGAGTCCACATAGTATACTATAGTTATATTTCTTTTCTTGTTCGACTTTTTGTTTTTCCTGGAGTTGATAGTTGCCTCATTTTTTTATTTGCTTTGTTTTCAATGTACTAATCACTAATTCTTCCTCAAACTCTCCAATAGAGCTATGAAACCTCGCAATGCAACAGATATGTCAGATAATCTGTCAGCTCCCTCCCTGCTTAATCAGTGAGAGTCAGCTTCTTTACTTGCAACCAAGAACCCTGACTGGTGGAGAGAATGATGAAGGGAATTCCCATAGTGATAGTGAAAAGAAGTCCCAATACTACAGCTGTGCAGCTGGTCCAGAAAGCAACCAGTCCAATTTGGAGCAAGATGGCTGAGGGCCCCAGGAGGAATATTTTCAAGAAAAAAATGGAACTGATAGATTATCTGACATAGTTGCTGTATTATGAGGAGTTTTATAGTTCTGTTGGAGAGTTTGGGGAAAAATTACATATTCAAACAAAGAAAATTAAAAATGAAGCAACTATCAATTATAGAAATAACAAAAAGTTGAACAAGAAAGGAAATAAAGGCATAGTATGCTATGTGGCTTAGTTTTGAACAATATGTACATAGTCGTAGTAATGTAAGCACTGAAATTTGATTAACAAAAAATGATCACATAGCTATTTTCAGAAGATGGAGGAGGGGGTATGTGCATGTGCGTATGTATAGGAAAGCACAAACATCTTCTAAGGTAAGAAGTTAAAAATCAAGAAATATCAGTATAAACCTCTAATTTAGAAATGTAGAGATGAATACCCAGAGAAACAACTGATATTGGAGGTGGTATGTTTGGATATGGAGCTCAGGAGACTGCTGTTTTTTTGCTGCAAGCATTTTAGTTTTAATTAATTTTTTTGTGTGTGTGTGAGGAAGATCAGCCCTGAGCTAACATCCGTACTAATCCTCCTCTTTTTGCTGAGGAAGACCGGCTC